AAAGTTGTTTTAATATATAATTACAGCACTCAGTATGTAGATGAAGTTTGATATTCAGGTTTCATTACTGCTTGAGTTCCACATTAGCAGTAGAATCCACTTGTTTTATGACTTAGAGGATAAGAAAAATAACTGGTATTTCATAGTAGAAAGGTATCAAATCTAATACTGGTAAGAGGGGAAAATGGAGAAGTAAATCCTTGTGTAGTATCCTTCTATTCTTAGCCCAAGCTGSTCATACAGCAAGATCACAGAAGTAAAATTTTCAAGTGTTTTGCCTCTTAATGACTTCTGTTTAAATTGATATGAATCATCTTAGACCTTCTTCCCTTTCCCCAAAATTCTTTCCAAGTACAGGTTTAGTTTTTTCTGCTGGCCACTGTTCTTTGAGCACCATCATACGCTTCTTTCCCAGCTGAAGTTAGCGACAGTGTTTATTGCTCTTTCTCAGATCCCAACCATGGAGTAGCTACACTATTCCAGCTATTTGCCCCTCCACTCCCCTCATGAAAGTGGAAAGCCAGTCTTCACTCAGTCTGCATTTTATTTGTTACTCACGCACTGGAACATACTTCAGTAACACTATTCCTGTCCTTAACATGAAGGATATTATACAGCCTTGGGTTTAGCTTTCAGCAGACATGGGATTAGTTTCCAGTTTGTTGCCACATACCAACTATACTGAGTATCCTTATAAAGGTCTGTGGAAACCTTAAGGAAAACATGCCTGGCAAGAAATTACTCCCAGCAGCTCTAACCAAGGCACTTGGTAAAAGCAGCAGTTATAGCTCAACTGACAAACTAAGAGGGACATGACTGAGGTAGCTTCACTTTATAGGAACTTCTAGTAGTCAATTCCTTTTTGTAACAATTGGCTTCTGACAAAATAGTTAAACTGTATCCTAAGTAACTGCTCATTTTGCCAGACTGGAATAGAAAAAATTATACGGCAGTTGGCTCTTCCACTGTTGACAGTATTCCACCACTTCTGCACTGTATCACAAAAAGGAACGAGTAGGCTGTTGGGTCACTGCTCCAGAGAGCTGCAGGTCACTGGGTAGCGAGATACCCTCAACAAGACTTTCCTTCATGGATTTGGCAGTTCAGGCTGCAGAAGGGCCAAAAGGTGAGTGGTGGATGGAGACTGGAAACCACAATCATCGTGATGGACTTTGAGTAGTTTTGACTGAGTTGTGTCTCTGCCATCAGCTTCCCTGGTGTGAGCTCTAAGCACCACAGCGAGTACCTGCTGCTCTGAGATCGGGGTGTGCCTAAACTGGGGCCTGAACAGCTGGGGGGTGGCCCTCCCCTCCCCATGCACTGTGCTCTGAGTCAGCCTTACAGCCAAAATGGAACTGCAGGACTTCCCCCCCCCAGCAAGGAATGGGTGTCCAGTCCCAGAGGCAAACTGGAGCTTACCTGAAGCAAGCTTGAGGAACTTGCAGTGCAGACGTGAGGGCCCGGGCACAGTCAGTGCTAGGCCACAGAACTTGCAAAGACAGACACAACCACCCCCGACTCTGTTTTCTGTTGTGTATTTAAACTACATTAATACCATTCACGCAACTGGGAGATGAAGACCACACAAAGTTTTAATGAGCTGAGAACTGGACTTCTATTTCCATTAGGGTATAAACATGATAAAACCTATTCTGAATTATGTACTGTTCTAGAAGGATGGAAACAACATCCAATGTGCTATACTGCTGTTACTCAGATTTAGCATCCCCAGCAAGTCTATCCACAGCTCCTGTGGAATCACATGGAAGTCCACAGCCAAGGACAGCCCTTCCCACTCTCACAAGTTTTCCTGTTAGTAGATTCTAAATGTTCCTGTTAATTCAAAAAAGTCATCTCCTAAAGAAATCCAAGGAATAGCCAGGTCCTTCAAAGACGTACCACAGCAGTGTGGTGGTAGATGAGGCTGAGGTGTATGATGTTTACTTACTGTTTGTCTGGCAGTTTTCTAAGGTTTTGATACATGTCTCAAAAGCAGAACTGATTTTTTTATATTTTTTCAATTTCCTCTTCCCCATTTTTCTAACTGTGTATTGATCAGCTTTTTTTTGTAACTTCACTGAATGTTTCAAATCAGTGCCTGTCCGTAGACAAGACCATCTGCTGTATGTAATCTCCTCCTCCCTGTGGACAGGGCAGGAGTAGCAGCAAGGCCTTTTACTCAGAGCACTGAGTGCCATCTAAGGGCTGCTCGCATGGCTGCAGGCAGCTGCAATGGACGAACGCTGAAAGACGGGAGATGCTCGGCTTTTGTAGGAGGGGACTGCCCTAAGACAACACCCAACACCACCGTGAGACTGCATAGAGATCACAATGTAAAATTCTTAAGGTGTACAAAAAGCCGAGAATGAGGTGGAGTGCAAATCTTAACTGCAATATAGTAGCAAATTTCAGCTGTAACCTGGAAATCCAGCTAGATCCCCATGTATTAGAATAAAAGCCTCACTTACCGAAATATTTTGTTTGACCCATCCTCTGGAAATATCTTCAGGAAGATGTCTTTGTTCTGTGTATAATTAACAGTGTCCTAAATAAACCTTTGTTAAGTCCAGTAAGTTTGTTATGGTACCTCTGTAAATGAAGAATGTATTTAACCAATAAAATTTTTATAATTAAGTCATGAGGGCATTTTAATTGAGCTTTCCACCTGACAGTTTTATGGATCTCATTCTGCTTAGATATTTATCCCAGCTACAAAGTAACACCCTACCCCCATACAAATACAAATAATAAATATTGCACCCCTTTACAAGTAGTCCAAACGCCTCAGAGAAGCTGGATGACTGTAACAGTTTATTCAAGCCTTTGGACATGGTTACATTTCACACCACCTATAGAATCCATGGCACCAATGAGCTGCCACCGCAGCGTATTGCACCAAGCTGTGGTTCTCAGTGATATGGGCTCATCCGGGGCTGATGGACAATTCTGCACGTTTAGGTGTACCCTGCTGATTGCTTTCAGATACCCTGAATTTTCAGCTGATATTTGTTGAGAGAATACAGAGGATGCACAGTATTTTCCTTCTTGCTTTCCCCCCATCTGATACATTACAAAGCCTACATTTACCCAGAACCTCTACATGGCAACGCACTGTTCCAAACAATAAAGATAAAAGCCTAAAAAAAATCCGAGCTCTTGTTCTTTCCCCAAATCCTCCTGGGCCAACCTTTTTGCAATATACAGTCCTCACACATTCAAGGAACAAATAAAACTGACAAATAATATGGCTATCTGGGATTCCTGGAGGCAGATGACACCTGCCTCAGCAGTACAGATGGAAAGACCAAAGATACGTGATTCCCTCCCTCTTGTTTCAAGGTTTTGAGTGTTGAGCACTCACTCCACTTGCTTCCACTACACAAACTGGAAAAAGCACAACGTAATAAAATGTAACTTGGAATCGCAACACAAAATCATGTCACCAGCAGCATTCTAAAGGTAAGTCCAAACAATTCTTCTCATTTTGTGTATTACTTGGTCAAAAGAACATCAACTAGGAAAATGTGAAAACTGATTTCAAAAATCTCACAGCTAGCAGGGCCCCTTTCCTTTTTCCCAGTGGCTTTGTTGGAGCAGTATTTTACTATTTTCCCTCATTTCTTGTCTTAAGCTCTGTGACAAGTGACTTCAAGAACCACCACTCTCAGTGACCTCTGCATTTTCCTCTCAGGTTAAAAATCACTAGTTCACCAGCAATTTGCTAGGACTAGGTTTAGATTTGTTGTCCTGTTCTAAACAAAACACACTGATAGCACAGAACACTCATTTTAGCCAGAAAAAAAACACTCTTCCATTTTTAAGCCAACCTAAGTTAAACACAAAGCAAAAATGCTGTTAGAGAATAGAAAACAGTCTTAAAATTACTCTGCAAATAAATGTGTGCTTCGTTCTCAGAACACAGACCATTGCCTTTTTTACATTTCCCCCCCGAAATTCCACCAGTTTCTCAACTGTAATTACAGTCACCCCTTAGTTCTGACAGGTTAAAATCCAACTCCACTGCTTGAGCACATTATGCATTTCTGCACTGCTCAAAATCAATGCTGCTTCCATCACTGTAATTAAACTTTAGCACCTGCAAACACCTTCTGACCACCAGAGACCACACCTCTGTCAGGAGAGGTGGTATGAAATTACCATGCAGAAACTTAGAAACAATGCTGAAGTAAGTCATCTGGATAAATCCCTCAGCCTTCCTGTAATACCACTTCTGACACAGGTTTCCCTGTGCAGTTCCCGCCTTCCTGTAGGGCTCCTATTTGAGGCACCTCTCACCAATACAACCTCTGCATACATACAAAAGGGTTTTTTTGGTGAGGACCAAAATTACTGGGAAAAACCAACAGAGAATCCACAAAAGACAACCCACTTTCTTCCACCCATCTCCACAACAGAAGTGGAGAAATACACAAGTGGAGAAATACACAAGTGCAAGTTCGTTGTAACAGTTTTTTTCAAACCAAGGCTGTAAGTTAACCTTATTGAAAACCCACTCACGCATCCAGCAACAATATTGTCCAGTAGCAACACAGGCAACCAAGCATTAGTTCTGTATATTAAAACCTTTTATTTTCATCCAATTTTTAGTTTCACACAGACTCTTGCACAGGCGGCTCATATCCATCAGCTCGCTCTACCTTAGTGCCTGCCTCATCCCCAGAGGGCTTTCCAGCACCACCACCTTCACCATGCAGCTCCATCAGCTTGCCCACTAAAAAGAAGCAGTGATAGAAATAGTGAGAGATGCACCTATTTAAACAGTTTTAAATTAGTCAATTACTCATCCATCATACACAAATTAAACCACTGAGACATTTTATATAAGTAGGACCACTGCAGATAGCTCATGCACAGAGATGCTGCTGCAGTGACTGACAGACAGAAACAAAGCAGTGAAATAGGGCTAGGTTATGAAACTGCAAACCACACTTTTTTCTAAAAACATCTGGAGTCAAGAACCTACAACAGCTTTACACAGGAATGTCAGAAAATGGGAAATGGAATCATTCCACATCATCTGGGACCGAAACATTTTGTCATCATTCATTCCCAAAGCAAAGCTTTTGAATATTCAGCATCAGTTCCAAGAGTGAACTCAAGAAGCTCTGAACCGAATGCTCACTGTTTGGGTTTCAATCTGGAAAGCCACAAAGTGGGACAAGGAAACACTTTCCTTACTGCAACTACTTAAGCTCATTGATGCTGCTGTAACATCTTTATCTAACACCAAAATTTAGGAGTATATTTAAAGTAACTCCTTTCCACATCCTCCCCCAAATGTCTGACTTACATTCAAACTTGGGCTTCTTGAGCATCTTCACCTTGCGGACATAGACATCGTGCAGAGGGTAAATGGACTGACAGGCCTTCTCAATGTCCTTGCCAATGCTGTCTGGGATCCTGAAAACCAGAGCACCACAATGTTACGCACTCTGCCTGCCTCTTCAGCAGCAACACAGGCTTAAAAAAATCCATAAAAATACAAAATATTCTACAAAAGTTAGTATCATCACTCTGACAATTTTCTTCAAATACATTTAGATTTCAAGACATTTCCCTTGCAAAGAAACCTAGAGGAAGTGTGCCCATTGCGAGAGCAAAATCTGCAAACTTTTGGAAGTAATCACCACACTTTGGAAAACTTTATCAGAAGAGCTCAGAACATTCACAGCTCCAGCTGACCAGTACGACAACTTTAGTCTGTGAAAATATGAACCACAAATTCTCTGGAGAGTCATTTTACATTTAGGCAAACACGACAGTGGACTCAAGTCAGACAGGATGCAGACACTAAGAGAAGCCGTTTGCAGAAAATGGCAATTGGCTTTTGCACATGAGAGGCTCCTTGCCTGGTCTCTGACAAACAGCTTGTGATGCACCAGCACTCCTCACAAGGACTCAGCAACAACCAAGCCCCAAACAAAGATTTAAAATGTAGGGGAGAAAAAGAGAACGTGGCCAAAGCTTACAGCTTATTGACAACTTCTTTCAGGTCATTGGTCTGCACCTCCCGGGTCATGATTTCCATCATTTTTTTGCGGATCTGCCGGACCTGCTGGTGCTGGGCATAGGAGGTCTTGCGGATTTGGTTATTGCGCTTCTTGGTGAAGCCCACGCAGAAGAGGCGCAGCAGGTACCCATCCGTAGTTTTGACGTCCACATGGGCTTCAATCATTGTCTGAAAGAGAAAGAAATTAATATTTACCACCCACATGGCAGACAGGCTGCCCCACCCCACACACCTGAATCGCTGACATCTGATGCCACTTCAAACACGACTTTGCCAGGCACCAGTGGTTCCCTCCATCCCTGAAGGCACCAGCAGCAGTGCAGACCTTGTTCCTTACACACCTGCCATTTTTTGACCATGGAGCACATTTTGTCGCGTGTGAGGTCCATCCCATGGAAGTTGGTCAGACAGTTTTTGCCCTGAACATCCTCTGTTATGAGTTTAAACTTGCGGAAGGCAACCTCATCGTTCTGCAGATCAGCCAGGCTCACTTCAAACACACGGCCCTTCAGCCCATCAGAGGCAATCTCTGTGTGATGGAACATAATAAAACATCTTTTATTAACATTAGAAGCACATTCTTCAAATCCGATAATGAATTCCTGCTGGAATCCTGTTCTCTGGATGTTTTCTAATGGTGATCACAGAGTCAGTAAAATTGGAAAGGCCTCCTTTTGGAAGGAATTTTTTTAAGATAATAATACCAGGTGTGGGATATCAACAGTAGCATACTGCAGAGTCCACCACGTATAACGATTTGGTTTAGGTATAAAGGGGTCCACATAGAGAGTGTGTGGAAATTATAAACAGTAACAAAAAAATTAAACATAAAAAGCCGCAAGTGCTCAGCAGAGATGAAGCTTCAAGTACAATCACTTCACAGTTCCTCCCCTAACAAGGAACCATTATAACACTGGACGGTTCACACTTCGTTTTGCAGTGACCCTCATTTTATTTGACATGTTACAGCTCAATATATATATATATATATATAACTTTGAGTGCAACCAGCAAAGTATCATGAAACTATTTAGCCATTCTGCACAAGCATCCAAAATTAGTGTTACCTCTGTTCAGACACCCCTGCATTCCTAACACAGGTTTCTTCTTCCTAAGGTGTGCCAGGCATATAAAACCAGCTTTACCATTCAGTGATGTTATCAGTGCTCACATCCAGTCAGCAATTCCGGTTCTCATCTTTACCCAAATGCTTTAAATTTCAGAAATTTCGTTGTCTTCTTGTACTAATCGTTACGATCCTATTAGGACTAAGGTCTCCTGTGGCACTGCCTCACATCTCTCCCTGTGACAGTCAGAACTACTTCCAAACTTTTTAACTTTTCCCAGCTGGGCAGGTTACCACAACAGGAGCTCGCTGGAAAGTTCAGGCCCTTCCTTCCACAATCTGGCATTCTTGCACAAAGAAGGAGCCGGTGTGTGGACTTCCCTGCAGCTAAGCTGACTTATTCAAACAACACGGTCAACTCAAAAAAATCACTCAAATCACCCAACTATTTTAACTTTCAGGTTTATAGCAGTACAAGCAAAATCTATTTGTCAGCAGTTTTTAATCCAAGAAGTTCTTGAACCAGTTTACAGCCAGAACCAGTTTACAGCCAGAAACAGAAGCAAACACAACCCCCTGCACTGCATGCACCAACCCCAACTACTCACTAGTTCCTTGAGTCCTCGTGACAAGCGTCTTCCCGATGTTTCGGATATTGAACATGGCCGGTGCTTTGACATCGTACCAGTCCTTCTTGGAGAAAGGGTCGACCCTTAAATCAAACGTGGAAGATTATTTTAACGACTTTCTCACACCAAAAGCGGGATGCAGTAAGGCCTTCCTCTCKGTATGCTCCCGCCCCGTCAGGCCCAGGACCGCCCGGCCGCCGCCATGACAGCATCGGCCCCGCTCCGGCCGGGCCGCCGCCGCCATCCGCCCCGCATCCCCTGCATCCCGCCGCCGCGGCGCCCTTCCCGCCGTCTCTGGGCACCGCCCGCCCGTGCCCCGCCGGCCCTCACACTTTCTTCTTGGCGCCCTTCTTGCCGCCCTTGGTGAGGCGCTTGTTCTTCCCGACCGCCATCGTCCGGCCCGCGCCGCGAAAAGGGCGGGGCGCGCCAGCTCCCGCGAGATTATACGAGACCGACGCTCGCGCGAGACCTGCGAGAACGGGGCCGCCTACAGCCCCGGGGAAGGGCGGGCGGCGCGCGCGGGACGTACCACGGCGGGACGGAACCAATGGCGCGGGGGGAGCGGGGGGAGACCGGCACAGCCCGCCGTGCCCGTGAGCGCCCCCGCCTGGAGCAGCCGCTCCCTGTGGCCTGAGGGGCGCCCGTCCCTGCGGAATGTAGTCCCGGGACTCCCGGCCTGTCAATGCATCAAAGTATCTGGAGCATGTGAGGGAGCTGTGAGGAAAAATGCATCCTGGCACTTGCCAGGGGTATRAATTTGCCTGCAAGGGGACACAGGGAACAGGAACACATAGGYCCCTCAGCACTGCAGAACAGCCGTGGATGTGCCACATCTTCTGAGATGTGTAGGAACATCTGTCAGCTGTCCCAAAGGTGATGGTGACATCCTGCCCTCCATCAGGGAACCAGGTTTCTCGCCCTGTCACCCAAAGGGACCCAGGTATCCTGCCTTTCATGGGACAGTGGCCAAGGGCAGAG